AGAAGCAGGCTTCCCGCTGAGCAGGGAGCCCGATGTGGGGCTCAATCCCAGGACCCCGGGATCATGACCTGAGCCGAAGGCAGACGCTTAACGACTGAGCCACCCAGGCGCCCAACACTTGTTAATTTTAAAACGAACAGTGAACAGTAGAAAAAAATCTTATGGGACATTAACTCATTTCAGAGAGCAGTAAATTTTATTCTTTTTTAATATGAAAATTCTGAGAATTTGAAGTGAATTTTCCTAGCAATGTTGAAAGAAAGTGAGTCTTTTTAATGAAATATGAACCTAATATGTATGAATGTTCTGCAGAGTGAAAGGTCTAGCTGTGCTACTTGAATGTGCTCTTCATTTGCAGGTCTGGCTTCAGTATCAGTGCCTATGGGACATGCAAGCTGAGAACATCTACAACAGACTGGGGGAAGATCTCAACAAATGGCAGGCTCTCCTGGTTCAAATAAGGAAGGCCAGAGGCACTTTTGACAACGCAGAAACCAAGAAAGAGTTTGGGCCGGTGGTTATAGATTACGGCAAGGTGAGCTCGCCTGTGTTGTCAGAGGGGTGGGGTGGGGGTGGCTGGCTCTCCAGGCGGCATCCGTGTGGGATGAGGATGCAGCTGAAGCGCGAAGGAACTGACGACTGTTGTCGTGGGCACATTCACCTGCAGGTTCAGTCTAAGGTGAACTTGAAGTACGACTCTTGGCATAAGGAGGTTCTCAGCAAGTTTGGGCAGATGCTCGGCTCAAACATGACGGAATTCCATTCCCAGATCTCCAAGGTGAGGGGGCAGGATCCTGGCGGCCTAACAAGTCTGGTAGGTAGCGAGGTAAGCCTTGGCTCCGTGTTAACTTTCTGTGCTCTCTGAACAGTCCCGCCAGGAGTTGGAGCAGCACTCGGTGGACACGGCCAGCACCTCCGATGCAGTGACCTTCATCACCTACGTGCAGTCTTTGAAACGAAAGATAAAACAATTTGAAAAACAAGTTGAGGTGAGCTCCGTGAATAGTTGAGATTCTCACCGTCAGCTCTCTAGGCACTTCGAGTTAGGTCCGTACAGCCCACACGCCGTCTCGCTCATACCCACCTGCTGAGCCGGTTCCAGTGCAGACCCGTTGTCCTGGGGGTCTGCCCTTTAAACAGCTCTGCAGGTGATTCCTAAGTGCATCGAGGTTTGAGAACAACTGTGTCTTGCCTTCTGAATCTTGTACGTTAGCTGTTGATGGGTGACTCACACGTGCACTTGTTTTTGTGCACTTGGAAGGGGCTGGAGTGAAGCAGCAGCACGCTCTCCATCCTCCCCAGGCCGCTCGGGCGCAGCCGGGTTTGGGGACGAGCCAGCTGCCGCCGGCTCGGGGCCTGCTGCCTCCCGGGCGCCGCGTTCTCCGGGTGGAAGACTTCTGGAGAAGAGCAAACGTACTGATGTTGTGTGTTCTAGAGCCGCGGAGGGTCTTCCTTTGACGTGGGAATCTGACGATAGTTTCTAATGTGAAAGAAAACGAACCTGTATTTTTTACTCTCAAAGCTCTACCGCAATGGTCAGCGCTTGCTGGAAAAGCAGAGGTTCCAGTTCCCGCCCTCCTGGCTCTACATCGACAACATAGAGGGCGAGTGGGGGGCCTTCAACGACATCATGCGGCGGAAGGACTCTGCCATCCAGCAGCAGGTGGCAAACCTGCAGATGAAGATCGTGCAGGAGGACCGGGCGGTAGAGAGCCGCACCACGGACCTGCTGGCAGACTGGGAGAAAACCAAGCCCGTCACGGTGAGCCGCGCCCGCAGCCTCTCCAGAACCCACAGCGCCATTTGGTGTCCTTTCTCCCACACTGAAGGCTTTGCTCTGGCTTAGCGCTCCAATAATGTTTGTAATTAAAACAACACTTGCATGTCATATATTTGAAAAGTAAAAGCCAACTTAGAGCTTTTTTTACCCAGAACCGCCCATGACGATCATTTAAGTCAGGTGGTTTTAAAAATTAAAGCTTTTCTTTCTTAAGTTATCCTCTTACTTAGGCATACTCAAAAATTAGAATTTAATTTCTCACAGACACAGGCCGAGCCTCACGTAGCCACTGCCTCTCTCTGGGCTGTGGGAGGCAGGCCCCGCCATCCCCGTCGTGGTAGATAGTGGTAGTTACTTCTGTACCCAGCACCTGCCACCGTCAGTCCTCTTGGTTCGTTCAAGTACTTGTTGAGCACCGACTGTGTTCTGGGCAGTGAACAGGAGGGACACTCCAGTGGGAGAGACAGGTGAAAAACGAGCGAGGAAAACCTGTATTTGAGTCAGATGGGGATCGGTGCCGTGGGGAAGGGCGAGGGCCAGGTGGACAAGGGGTGTCGGTGGGTGCTGCCTTGCACGGAGGGTGGCGTCTGAGTGGCAAGTCACGCAGATGGCAGGAAAGGAGGTTCAGGCAGAGGCAACAGCGCGTGCAGGGCTCAAGCACGTACGGAACTGCGTACCTGGTTTCCTGGGGCGGAATTCAGTCTGATTTGTTTAGACATATAAACTAAGTATAGACAGGAAAGAAGAGGGGAAGATGGTTAGGATGCTCGGAATGTTGATCTGGTTTTCCGGTTTGGGGTGTCAGTGTTCCATAGCAGGCCTGGTGGCAGATCTAGCTTCCCACCTACTCTGTAGAGCTGTGTCGTATCTCAGCCCTGTCTGTGCTGGTGGTCCTAAAGTTCCTACTTTGTGTTTAATTCTGGTTCGAGGGCCCCTATTTTAAGAAGATCTTTGCTTTCACAAATGCCAATACCGTAGCTTTTGCAGAATGCTAACTATAGCAGGGGAGTGAGTATTCCTCAATAGGCAAGATTCTGTTCACCAAAATTTGAATATTTTTTATTACCATTTTTTGCTAGTAACGTGTCAGTTTAAATTTTCGATGATATTTTATATAGTCATTCTCAGATTATTAAAGAGTCAGCAAATCGTAGTTTAATGCTCAACTAGAAGCCATTTCACTGAGGACTGCTTCATTTCTCATCCTTCTCTCGGTCACTGATGTAATAGCTGTGTGCCTCAGGAAGGGCATGGCTGGCAGCCCCCGAGAGCCATGTCCCCTCAGATCAGGAGTGGCCTGCTCCAGGCCCCTGTCTGTCCTGACTCTTCTCTTCCAGTCTCCCAAGGCACTTAGTGAGACAGTGGCTAAATGGAAAGATGCTTCACCTTTCTTGTTTCTTTTTTTCTTTCTTTTTAAAAATATTTATTTAAGTAATCTCTACACTCATCTTAGGGCTCGAATTCACGACCCTGAGATCAAGAGTTGCACGTTCTTCTGACTGAGCCAGCCAGGCGCCCCGGTGCTCCACTTTTCTTATTCATGTTTTATTTATGTCAAATACAGAAGTAAAAGTTACATTCAGTAATGTACACGAATCATGAGTGTACATCTTGGTGAAGATGTACATATTTGGAGACATGCTTAAGGAATCACAAATTTCCAGACTTCCCGCAGGCTCTCCCCACCATTTCAGGGCCCAAGCATTCATCTGTCCTGAGACCTAGCTCTGCAATTCTGCACTTTGATTGCTTGCAGGGCAATCTTCGCCCGGAGGAGGCGCTTCAGGCTCTCACCATATATGAAGGAAAATTTGGCAGGCTGAAGGATGACCGAGAGAAGTGTGCAAAGGCCAAGGAGGCACTGGAATTGACAGACACAGGACTTCTCAGCGGCAGTGAAGAGCGCGTCCAGGTACGGACTGCAGGAGATAGGGGTGTGGCTTCTCATCCTGGCTCTGCCCTTGACCAGGGCCATCTCAGGGGCCTTGCTAGACCTGCAGTGGTTTCTGCATCTAGAGGCTCACTGCTCCACTGTCGTAATCACAGGTGGCCTTAGAAGAACTACAGGATCTTAAAGGCGTTTGGTCAGAACTTTCCAAGGTCTGGGAGCAGATTGATCAGATGAAGGAGCAGCCGTGGGTTTCCGTCCAGCCTCGAAAGGTATACCTGGTTAAAGCAGATGTTATGTATACCATCATATGTTGAGAGTTGTAGACTTCACTTAGAAGCTCTGCAATCTACTGTGAGCTCACAGAATGTCACAGGATGGTCATTTACAGTATTCATTTGGACTGATGTAAAATGTGCTTTAAAACCATTTTTAAAAAAGATTTACTTATTTATTTGAGAAAGAAAGATGGAGCAGGGGGAGGGGCAGAGGGAAAGGGAGAAGGAGAGAAGCAGACTCCCCCGTCAGCACGGAGCCTGACTCGGGGCTCGATCTGATGACCCTGAGACACTGACCTGAGCCGAATCAAGAGTTGGACGCTTAACCGACTACTCCACCCCTTAAAAGCATTTTTTAAGATATTTCACCATTTAAAGGAGGTACTGGCAAACTAAATATCACCTTGTGTTTCTCTCAACAGCTTCGACAAAATTTAGATGGCCTCCTAAACCAGCTGAAAAACTTCCCTGCCCGATTACGGCAGTACGCATCCTATGAGTTTGTCCAGAGGCTTCTGAAGGGTTACCTGAAGGTAGTGAGTCGGTGCTGGGGTCCTGGGTGTCTGTTAGGAACACAGCTGCACAGGTAATTTTGCTTACTCTCTCCACAGATAAACATGCTGGTGATTGAACTAAAATCCGAGGCACTTAAAGATCGCCACTGGAAGCAGTTGATGAAAAGGCTTCATGTTAATTGGGTTGTTTCTGAGCTAACCCTTGGTCAAATCTGGGATGTTGACTTGCAGAAAAATGAAGCTATTGTCAAGGATGTGCTGCTTGTGGCACAAGGGGAGATGGCTTTGGAAGAATTTTTGAAGCAGGTGAGTAATAGACCAATAGCCCTTTTATGTCACATTTCCAGCTGTGATGTAGGTTTGAGCTGTGTGAAAACAGCTGCGTCTGTGGTCCGTTTGTCCCCATAACACTTGCTCGCTTGTAGAGCTGGTGAATGCCCACATATTGATAACATCCCTCCTTTTGGTTTTATTTCAGATAAGAGAGGTATGGAATACTTATGAGTTAGACTTGGTTAACTATCAGAACAAGTGTCGCTTGATCCGAGGCTGGGATGACCTCTTCAACAAAGTCAAAGAGCACATCAACAGCGTCTCGGCCATGAAGCTGTCTCCGTATTACAAGGTACCATTGTTGGGGAAGCCTTCCCTCTCTTATCGAGCGTTCTGCACTTTCTCTGTAATATCTTTTGACTGGCAGTTACCAGAAGCCTGTTTTTTAAAGTTGAGTCAAATAAGTTGACATAATTTGTATTTTTTTAGTTAGCTTTGGCATATCTATGAGTGAAAACTTTAGCAGCTGGGCTCTGCTTTCCATCTATCCACTAGGTTTTCGAAGAAGATGCCCTGAGCTGGGAAGACAAGCTGAATCGGATCATGGCTCTCTTTGACGTGTGGATCGATGTGCAGAGGCGGTGGGTCTACCTGGAAGGCATCTTCACGGGCAGTGCGGATATCAAGCACCTGCTGCCAGTGGAAACCCAGCGGTTCCAGAGGTACGACCTCTAGCCAGGGGGCAGGAGAGCCGAGTCATAGATATGCTGGTAACCACTCTTCACATAAAAGCTAACAATGGTTTCGATTTGATTTGTAGTATCAGCACGGAGTTTTTGGCTCTGATGAAAAAAGTATCCAAGTCTCCCCTTGTTATGGATGTTCTGAACATCCAAGGGGTACAGAGGTCTCTGGAGAGATTGGCAGACCTGCTAGGAAAGATCCAAAAAGCATTGGGAGAATACCTAGAAAGAGAGCGATCATCTTTCCCCAGGTAATATCCTTGCTTTGACTTGCACAGAAGTGAAGTTCAATTTCAAGAGCCCTCTGCTCTCCCTTCTGGGTCTGCATGTTGGTCACTTCGACATCAAGAGTTTTGTTACCAAGAATCCATTTAATGAGTATTATTCCCTTTTTGTGCGTTTATTCCTAATTATAATGAATAAGCCTTTATTTTCTTCCTTGCATTTGTTTATGAAGCTTCGCTGAAACTAATATCCACCCTTCTAGGCAGCTCACACCTCTTAAAAATTTAGCTCTGATTATTTTCCAAGTGGCATTTCTTCCTTTCTGAATAGTTAGCTTACTGTAAATCGAACAGGCTTTTAAAAAATAAGTCCATGAAAAAAAAAAAAAATAAGTCCATGAAGTAAGGTGAATGACATAAAACCCATGGAATTCCTTTTCAGTAACTTGTTAGATAAATATGTATCTTCTGCTGAGGGCTGGAAGAAATTTGGATGTGATCTCTGTTCAGACTGGAGATTGTCCACCACCATCCAAATCCGGCTTCCCTCCCCACAATTTGAAGTTATGTGTTAAATGACTATTTACGTATGTATAACATTTTAGCAACTTGAATGCTATTTTAATTTTAGGTTCTATTTTGTGGGTGATGAAGATTTGCTTGAAATTATTGGAAACAGTAAGAATGTAGCTAAGTTACAGAAACATTTCAAGAAAATGTTTGCTGGAGTTTCGAGCATCATCCTGAACGAGGATAACTCTGTTGTCTTGGGCATTTCATCCCGTGAAGGAGAGGAGGTAGTTGAATGTATGATTGTAACTAACAATGCTTCTCTCTTGTCTTTGCACATCTTCATTCTTAAATTGTATTTATTTCAGGTTATGTTTAAAACTCCCGTGTCAATTACCGAACATCCCAAAATCAACGAGTGGCTCACGCTGGTAGAAAAGGAGATGAGAGTCACACTGGCTAAACTTCTTGCTGAGTCTGTTACAGAAGTTGAGATTTTTGGTAAAGCAACTTCGATTGACCCAAATACGTACATCACTTGGATTGATAAGTACCAGGTAATGTGTGGCAGAAGTGGGCCAGCATGAAGGCGGGTGCACCAGCTGTGTCCGAAACGATCCTTCGGCTCTTGTGTCTTGTGTCGTTCAGGCCCAGCTTGTGGTTCTCTCAGCCCAGATCGCCTGGTCTGAAAACGTGGAGACCGCTCTGAGCAGCATTGGGGGAAGCGGTGATGCGGCGCCCCTGCACTCCGTGCTGAGCAACGTGGAGGTCACCCTCAACGTGCTGGCCGACTCCGTCCTCATGGAGCAGCCGCCGCTGCGCAGACGGAAGCTGGAGCACTTGGTTAGTCCCGTGCCTGACTCATCCCTCAGCGGTCAGGCTCTTGTGCCTTCAGCCCAAGCAGTTAAAGGAAATCGTGCTTGGACTATACTCTGGTGTTAGGGAGAGAAGGAGGTGGCGAACTGATGTAGTCTGGCGGGGGGGCGGGGTGGAGGGTATTTGCTCTCTGCTCCTGTTGACAGGTGACCCTGCCAGAGCAGGGAGCTTCGTGTACACATCCTAGTAAACAGGAAGTGATAAGCTTAGATCAGGGTTTTCCGCTCTGGCTCCTCATCCCTTCCCAAAGCAGCGCCCAGGGTGTGGCGCCGGGAGACCTGGGTGGGCCAGGGCGTGTGCTGGGCCTGGCCCGCGGGGCCCAGGCTGTGAGGACGGAGACGCGTGTCCTGCTAGTTGCAGAGCTTTCTCTTAAAGTAGTTTCGTTTGTCGGTTGTTTGGTCTTGCTGCAGCTCTAGATTCTGTGTAATTTCATTATGTGAATAACAGTTCTGTTGTTTTAAAAATGAATTGGCATTTTGGAACATTTACTAAAAGCCACTGTAACTGGATCTTGCATCTCAAAAGTCTACTAAATGATCCCATCCCCAGGAAAGGCACCGTACTTCTCCAGTTTATGATAAACTCTTAAACTAACTCTTTGTTCAGATTACAGAGCTGGTTCACCAGAGGGATGTGACGCGGTCCTTGATCAAAAGCAAGATTGACAACGCTAAATCTTTCGAATGGCTCAGCCAGATGCGCTTTTACTTTGACCCTAAGCAAACTGACGTGCTACAGCAGCTGTCGATCCAAATGGCAAATGCCAAATTTAACTACGGCTTTGAGTACCTGGGCGTTCAGGACAAGCTGGTGCAGACCCCCCTCACCGATCGCTGCTATTTGACCATGACTCAAGCCTTAGAGGCCAGGCTGGGGGGGTCGCCGTTTGGTAAGTTACTGCACAGACCTGGACAGATGGAGACCAAGAGTAAGCATAATTTGTAAAGATTAGACCAGTGATTTTAAACATATATTTTTTTTTTTTTAAAGATTTTATTTATTTAACAGGGAGAGACATAGCGAGAGCAGGAACACAAGCAGGGGGAGGGGGAGAGGGAGAAGCCGGCTTCCCGCCGAGCAGGGAGCCCAATGCGGGGCTCGATCCCAGGACCCTGGGATCATGACCTGAGCCAAAGGCAGACGC